AAAATAATCCTTAATACTAGAAAAAATTCACAAGTGACTTTCTTGGCTACGTTATTAAAAAAAACAACTGCGCACATAGGAACACATGATTTGGATTCACTCTCCAAAGTTAATAAATAATTACTGAATGAAGTAGTGCTGGAACAAAGAAGGGCAGGTAGAAGGAATGAAACTTCAGGCCACAGTCAGGGATGGAAGGCACAGAGCATGAGTCACCCTGCAGCCGAAGGAGAAAAGAACTGGCCTGGCCTGATGGGCACCATAAAAGGCGAGGCAGGAGGAGGAAGAGGATGCAGTGAAAGATACCCTTTTAAGAGAAACATAAGCCCCGTGAGAGCTGCCTGAGAAATTATTCTGGCCTTCCAATTCTAAGACTTGGCCAAAGAAAAAGCCCCTGTGGTTGTGAGCATAACTGAAGAAAGGTACAAAACCAAAGCCTTGTTGCTTTCTAAAGCAGGTTGGTTTGGGCAACACAGTCACACTTCAACAAGGAAACAAAGTGACTGAATGAAAACCATGCAGTTTAAACATGAACGTTCCAATGACTATGTGACAGTGAAGAATCAGGACGGAAAGAAGCAGTAAAGTTTAAAGCATCTCCCTTAAACACAAAAGTAACTTTGTAGGACAGCTTGGAACATTAACTTAAATGCTTCTTAGATAGTCAGCGCATACGTGTACAAGGCCCGCCATCTGCTGGCAAGGCTTGGTACTGCTAATTTGGAAAGCACTCGGAGGAGGTGCTGGATTTTGGCAGAGGATAATTTACTCAATTTTGCAGCAAGTGCTCAACATTAAGAACTAATAACATTAGTCAGGTCTCAACATATGCAACAAATATTAGATCCTGGACTTCATCTTTGTATATCTTCTGTTTTACAATATAAGATAGAATACCTACTTCTGGGCAGGAAGAAATTCTGGACTTGGTAGGCCCTGCCAGTCACTACTCTCTTCCTCCTCTGTTACATAAATGGGATTATACGGTATGAATTCTTTTCAGCCTGGCTTCTTTCACAAACATTATATTTGTAGGAGTCATCCACCATGTTAAGCATAGGAGTTGTCTGATCATTTTGTTTGTGTGAACAGATCACAATTTTATCTACTCTACCTCTGAACAGTTGGATTGTTTCCATTCCTTGGCTATTAGAAATAATGTAGCTTTAGACACTCTTGGCTGTGTCTTTTGGTGAATATATGTATGCATTTCTGTTGGGTGTATATTTGGGAGCCATACTGCTAGGTCACAGGGTACTCAAACATTCAAACTTAGTAATTAAGCCAAACAATTTTCTAAAGTAGTTATACCAAATATATTCTAAACAACCACATATGAGAGTACTATATCCTTGCCAACTTGATATTATCAGTCTTCTAAAACCTTTTAGCAATATTAGTGGAAATGCAGTAGTATCTCACGATTTTAATTTTCATTTCCCTGATGACTGACAAGTGGAACACCATTTGATATGTTTATTAGCTATGTGGGTCTCCTTTTTTGTGAAAAGTCTCTTACCTACTTTTCTATTCAGTTGTTTGTATTTGTTTTGTTGATATATAGGAGTTCTTTACAGATTCTATTTATTTATTAGAAAAAATTTTTTTACTGATGTGCAGTCAGTTACAATGTGTCAATTTCTGGTGTGCAGCACAAAGACCGATTTATGCATATACATCCATATATTCGTTTTCATTTTTTTTCATTAAAGGTTCTTTACAGATTCTAGACATGAGCCCTTTGTCAGTTATATATATTATAAATATCTTCCTCTCCTCTTTGCTTGTCTGTGGCATGAAACATATGATGATTTAAATACAGAACAACATAGCACCAAGCAGAAGGGGATAAAGAGAATCAACATACTCAAAGGTCCTCTCATCGTCTGGGAAGTGATTAACTGACTAGTTACACTAGAGCATAATAAGTCAGAGATATGAGTGACAAACTCTATGGTAATCACCAGAAGAAAAATAAAATAACGCATAACTTACCAGTTAATAGATGAGAAAATGGAGTGATTAAAATATCTGACTAAAGGATGGCAAGAAAGGAGAAAGAAAAGAACATAAAACTGGTAGAATAAGATGAAATTTAAACTCAAATATACCAGTAATTAATACCAAAAAAAAGATTGAAATTCAAGAGACATAAAAACATATTATAGGAAAATTGATACCAAGAGAGTTAAAGCATCAATTTAAATATCAGGCAAAATAGATACAGGGGACAAAGAACAATATATACTGACAAGGAGAATTAGAGAGCAAGAAGATACACTGTTTAACTCTCCTTTGACCCAACAGGACACCAGAATGTATGAAACAATGACTGGCAGAACAATGGGAAGCTATAGATGGATCAATAATTGTAGTTCAAAGTTTAAGCACACTCATTTAAAAAATTAATATATCAAATTGGCAAAAATATATACATATATATAAAGTTGAATAACACAATAAAGTCACCCTAATACAGATTTATTAGAACCTTAAGCACAACAAGTAAAGAACACAATTTCCTTTTGGAGCATAGTTGGAACACTCACAAAAAACTGACCACGGACTAAGTCACGAAGGGAGCTTCAGTCAATCTCAAAGAGTTGATATTATATAAATATGTTTCAGCCCATAATGCAGCAAAATTAGAAATCAATAACATCAGAATGCATTGAAAAAAATCCGTATATGTGTAAACTAGAACATGTAACATCTGAATAATCTATGGATTAAAGAGTAATTTACAAACTAAGTTATGAACTTACTAAGAACTTCACGTGAGTTGATAGGACTACATGTTAAAACATGGGGATGGGAAGAGGGTATTGCTCAGTGGTAGAGTGCCTGCCTAGCATGCACAAGGTCCTGGGTTCAATCCCCAGTACCTCCAATAAAATAAATAAATAAACCTAATTATCTCTCCCCCACCAAAAGAAAAGGAAAAAGACATGTATGTATTAAAAAAAAAAACATGGGAATAGGTTTAAGCAAGACTTACAGGGACATTTTGGAGAATATCTTTGAAATTTGGGTGGGAAAGACTTCCTAAATAAACTCCCAAAGCATAAGTCATAAGGTTAAAAATGAATGGATTTGACTCTAGCAAAATTAAGAAATTCTATGCCATGAAGAACACCATAGACAAAATTAATAAATGAGTAATAGAAGAAAATATCTGTAATGTCACTAACTTATACTACACAAGAAAATCTTGATTATCAATAAGAAAATCACAGAGAGTCCCACAAGAAAAATGAGAAAGAATGCTAACAGCTTATTCACTGAAGAGGAATTCTAAATGGCTAAGCAGTATATGAAGAGGTACTCAAACCCACTAATCAGAGAAAGGTAAGTAGAATTGAACAGTAATTAGATAGCACATATATGTATCATGTTGGCAAAGGTTAGAAAGACCAACGATGCCGAATATAACTGGGAATGTGAGAAAACAGGAACCCCCGTGTCCTGCAAATGGGAGTCCAGATGGATGTAGTGATTGGCCAGTGTGTGGTGAACTTCATGTACGAGTGGACCCTGAGACCATGCATCCTACCTCTGAAGTCCGAACCTCAGGAATGATCTGTCTGAGCTACCTAAGTGGAGCGGCACGAGGATGTTTGTGGCAGCGCTGCTGTGGAAGCAAGGAGCTGGGGACAAGCCGAATGCCCATTACTAGGAGGCTGGCCAAGCCCAGGATGGCAGACACCTTCTCTGGAGCACAACACAGCAGCCAGTAGCACTGAACAGGCAGCAACTAAAAAGAGTGCTGAGTGGATAAAAGTGAGAGAAAGAGTGAGATGCATGCTGCAAATTTACACAAACCTAAAACATGTAAATACAGGAAACAATACTATTTATTATTCAGAGGTAAATACTCAAAGACATAAATCATCATTGAAAAAGGTACCTATGATTTTGTGTATGGGGCAGAATGAGAGGATGGGTCAGAGATGAAAGGAAAAAAAATCAATCTAAAAAAAGCATAACAAAGGTTCACATGGACTGATGAATTCTCCACACTTCATGTCCAAAAACACCCCCAAACAAACAAATTAACAAGAGTGGACTTGTGATCACAAAAAGTATCTTTAAAAGCATGAGGCAGAGTTAGTCCTTCCCAGTTTCCATCCGTACGGAAGCATTAGGTGTGTGCCCTCAGGACCCTTTCCTTCTTAAAATGATCCCACTGAGTCTCTTCCATGTTCTCTTGGGAATCAACCTATGCACACAGTCTGATGATGAAGGTACACTGGATTCCTCCAGCTTTGGGTAAGGCATGCCACGTAGGTCTGCTGGGGATTCTCTGCCTCTTTTAGCTCAGAACTTTCTCTGCCCTTCCTTCCACAAACACATCCTTCCAAAGAGTGTGCACTTACTCTGTCACCCCACTGTTCTGGGGAAATGGCTTGGGGTTGGCCTTTGGGGAGGGATAAATGTGCTGACTACCCAAGGCCCATCTCCTTCTCCCCACGGGCTCCAAGCATTATGTCTCTTCCACCAGGGTTTATCTGGTGAGTGTGGGGTCATGGCAGGGAGAACAGGGAACAATACTCTCATTCTTATGGATTCAGGTATCTTTAAGATCTTTCTCCTTTGAGGACCCACTCATGAGAGCAATGTATTGAAATACTACAGACTAGAGCATTTGGGGGTTGGTGCAGAGGAGGAAGAGAGCCAGGGAGGGAAGGTAACAGAGGCAGGAGGAATGGGGCAGAGAGAGCAGACAAGGGATTGAAAGCCAAGAGAATGTCATCAGAACTCTAGGGCCCAGGGGTGCATATGAGCCCACTACACATTTAGCGAAGTGTCACTGATGTACGTGTCTCGGTTGTGGCTGCTCTGACATGACCACGATCCTCCCTCTTTTCCTTCGGGACAATGGCCATGGAGAAGCCCTGGACGCAGCATCATGGAGAAGCTCTTCCTGCCCAAAGACAGATTCTTCTAGGGAAGAACCTCCAGCCATCACATACACAAAAAGTCCTAAACTGGAAACTTACTGTGCAAATGACAATTTGATCTGCGCTTGAATTTCCATCCATTCTTCCTTTATAATCCTTCCACATTGCAGCAGCTCCTTTGTGAGCCTCTCTGCTTTTGTCAGGTTCTCTGATGCTTCCTTAAATCTGAGTTGCGTTCAGGAAACTTGACACTTGGTGCTACATTCTGGGGCTCCAGTTCCCGGACATCCTTGGCTGTCATACTTCCCCCCACCCTTGGCTTCGGAGTCACCTTTCGGCTTTCGATTTGGCCTTGAAAATTAAATATAAGTATTATGAATCGTATTTCTGTTTGTACAGATTAGAGGCAAAAGGATACTTCTGAAGTGAGAGTAAGGCTCTCCCCATGGTGTGGAACAGCTCCACCGAACACCTGAAAACGTCTGTGTTGTCATTGTAAGGGGGCACGATGGAGCTGGTGAGGATTTCTTTGGCTTTTTCTGCATGTTGTTTTGCTTGCAGTGACAGCCCTGTGGACAAGGAAAAAGGAGCCTCAGTTTCTCTTTCATTTCAGCTGGACAAGAATATAGTTATCTATGGCCAGGAGATCTGAAGTCTCCTTCATCTATTGTCAAGTGGCACAGGGAGATACAGTGGGGCAGTGTGAGATACTGTCATGACTGTAAAGAAGTGTTTTGCACCTAGTACTCAAGATAAATTTTATCCCCAAATGGTCTTTTTAGGGATAAAATGCACAGAATGAGCAGGAATTGAACAGCTTTGAAATCTCACCAATATCAGACGTAAAACATGTTATAAATAATTATGAAATACAAATGGAATACAAGGACTATAGCATTCTGGGCAGGAAATGAAATATTCATGAATTGTAATCCTGGCTTTATGACAGCAATCTTAATGAAATACTAAAAATTCTGAATCTTCTGCTCAACCACCCGTAGTCATAACTCGAAAGGGTTATTTTAACATAATACAAATATGATGATATCTACAAAAGCTGACAATCACAATTCCAAAGAGGTAAGGAGCTAGTGTGCTATAATCTCTTATTTCTACGTGGTAATAGACGAATATGAAACAAATGGAGCTAAAAGAAAAGTTACTACCAGGAACTAATTCCCAGTGCGTTCCGGTGTTCTTCCAGTGGTGTGTTCATTTGAGGTAAGGGTGCAACTGGGGATCACTATTCAGGTCTCAGGGCTTTTCATTTCCCCAGAATGACACCCCTCTTCCACACATATCCATAGACTCCTGGTCTTATGTTGTTCATTATGCGGAATTGTATCTCAAATCTCTAAAAAAAAAGGCTGTCAAAATACGAAATTCATTCTGTTCCTCTATCTATTAAGACAGAAAGAATATATTTTCTGATGGAGAAAATCCAAGGTAAGCTATTCTTTTAGGAACCCTTACAGAATCCTGTCGTATTTTTTTAAAGCATACAATCGACCTACTAGAAATTTGTTAGTGCCAACAATGTATGCAATATTATAAAAGGCATGATGAATGCTGGCCCATTTCCTCAAGGAGCCTGAACACAATCTACTGGAGGCAGCATGGGCTGAGGTTCACGAACACCAGCTCTGAAATCAGGCTGCCCAGAATGAATTCTGTGCACCACCACTTACCCTGAAATGTTAGCTTCAGCTTCCTCCACCGTAAACAGGTAATGACATTACGCACCTCCTAGTATTATACTGAAGACTGAAATTATTCATGGAAAAACAGCATGGTGCCTGGCACTCAATAAGGCTTTAGTAAATAGTAGGTGTTGCTTTTAGCTTAAATTGAGAAAGACTGTCATGCAGAAAGGTAGCAAGGTAGACTGCGGAAGCAAAGCATCATCTGAAATCCCAGATGCCAGGACCCTGGTACTGGCATCCAAAATCCTGGGTCTGAGTCTCAGATCAGCCATCTATTAACTGTGTGACCTGGGGCAAGCTGTTTCAACTCAAACTAGTTGTTTCCTTTGATTCCAGAAAATGGGAGGTTGCAGGGGTGAGGGTTTGATGACCTCCAAGGCCCCTCTGGCTCTAACAGTCTGCAATCTAACAGGCAGGACCAGTCTGCAACCAGATTTGGCTAAATTTATTGCGTAGCTATTACACACCTAGCATGTGGTGTTTTCCACTTCTATGCATTTATTCCACTGGACCAATCCTGGCAAGTCAGAACCATCATCATCGTCATTATTCAGTTGAAGAAACAGAGTACCGAGATGTGCTATTCTTGGACATCTTGTCCTGGGTTACCAGTCCATGTATTTGCCTTCTCTGCATCCATTCTCCCTTTCTCTGTTCTTTATTGTTTGTTTGTTTTTGGGTGTGTGTTTGTTTTCTTGAGGACACAGGGCCACTGCACATCTAATCCATGTGATTTAGCCAAGGCCAGCCTCTCCCCCAGCATCCACTGGAGCCAGAAGGCAGGTCTAGTCAATCAGACTGTTTCTTGTCTTTGGCACACAACCCAAGTCAGCCCAATAAGAATCCCCAAGTCCTGAGATTTTGACATACGGACATTCTTCTTTTCCTGGGAATGCTGAGGAGGGAAACTTAATGCTGCTGGCAACCTTGCTGCCACCATGTGTGCGATGTTTGGCTAAGAATGGAGCCAATACAGAGAAAAACAGAGCCAAGAGGTGGGAGAAGAGAGGAATGGAAATCTGATCATGTTGTTTGAACACGTGGATCTGACTAAGCCTACAGTAAGTTTTACCCTTGGATTTTTAAATAGTATGAGCAGATAAATTACCTCTTATTTATTGTCAGCTTGATTTAGACTTTGATTTATTTTTTGGGAGTGGGGGTGTCACTTTACAGACAAGAGACTTTCCATTAAAACAAATGTGAATGGATCCTCTTTTAGGCCCCTACTCTATGGGCTGCTTCTACGATGCCTTCCTTCAAAGCTAACTAATTATCTCCTAAGAATCCTACTTTTAAGATCATAAAGACAAGGCTCTGAAAGGGCTAAAAATCTTCCTTCTCTTTTCTATGTATTATATAAAAAATCTTATTGACTCTTTGTGAAAGGAAATGGCTTTCAATGTGTGGAGAGGACAATATCCAAGAAAACTCACTCCTTCTAGTTAAGTTGAGTCAGATTTAGGGAGAAAGAGCAGAGACCGCCCGACCGGTGCTCCTCATTCTGAGACGAACTCACCCTTCAGCTGGAGGTAGCCCTGAGCCAGGTTAACATGTGCCTCGGCTAGTTTCCAGTGTGAGTCACCGTAGCAGATCCTTGTCAGTGCCACGCAGCGCACAAGCTCATGGATCGCCTGCTTATACTGGAGGAAGGGGAAATGGGCTTACCAGGTAGGCAACGGAAAACATCGAGTCACAAAGGACAAAATCAACTTGGACTTTTACCCAGTCAATATATATTTATTGAGTGCCTACTATGTGCCAGGCATGGTCTTAAGCACTTGTGATGTATCAGAGAACAAAACAAAGATCTGTTTTGGGTGGCAGGGTATTCATCTGGTAGGGTGAGATGGACAATATACATAAAAAAAAAGTGATAGCACATTGAAATTTATAGTATGTCATGGAAAATGTCATAGAATAAAGAGGTTGCCCATCAATAAACAGTTACGACATAGTCCAGGGCAAGTGGTGGTAGTTTTCAAACAACACTCTCTAGTTCTCAGTTCAAACACCTTCGTCAGCAGCCTAGGATACTAGCATAACAAGTGAGGGCAGCATTTACACATAGATTTCATTAAAAGACTAAGAAACACATTTTCATTCAATGCCAAGACAAAGAGAAAAACGAACTGTGGATTCCAGCTCCAGGACAGCTTGGAGCAGCAATACACTCAAAGCGAGGCTGGTAGTTTTAAAACACAGCTCCACAATTCTTTGACACTCCTTCCAACCAGAGATGGGGGTCTATGGGTCCTTCGCTTTGAATCTGGGTTTTGTAACTGTTTGGCCAAAAGAATACGGAGGAAATGATGCAGTGCCATTTTTCGGGCCCAGGTCTTAAAGAATGAGCCGCTTCCACTTTCTGTCTCTTCTTAGGTACTCACTCTCAGAACTTGTTATGGGATGAATTGTCCCCTCACCCCCACATTCATAAGTTGAAGTCCTGAGTACCTCAGAGTAAAACTGTGTTTGGAGAGACGGTCTTTAAAGAGATGAGTAAGTTAAAATGAGGCTGTCAGAATGGGGCCCTAATTGAACAAGACTGATGTCCTTATAGGAAGAGGAAGGGACACTGGGAGCTGGCACACACAGAGAAACACCTTGTGAGGGCATCGCAAGAGGGCAGGCATCTGCAAGCCAGGGAGAGAGGCCTCTGAAGGCCAGCACCACTTGACCTTAGACTTCTGGGCTACAGAACCATGAGAAAATAAACTTCTGTTGTTTAAGCCACTCAGTCTGAGGCATTCTGCCACGTCAGCCCTAGTGGCCTAATAATCACTGTTCCACACCCGCTGGTAGTTCACTTGTGCCTCCCCATCCCCTGAACCCTCTCGGTTACCAGGTCTCACTGACTTACATATCCAAATTCTTATCAAAAGATCTCAGCATTTCTACTGACTCCATCGTAATGCAGGCTCTCATAATCTCTCACCAGGATTATTGCAAATATCTTCTGAACTGGGCCCCCTCCTTCAGTTCCCCTCCCTTCTTTTCCTCCTCTACCAGCTATGTGACGTCTGAGTGATGATTCCAGAAACTCAGACATGCTCGTGGCACTCTCCTGCTTATAATCCTATGATAATCACCAGCACCCTACGGAGAAAATCTAAACTTTTCCTGGGTGTTGAACCCCCTCTGGGCCCCAGCTCCTGTCCATAAACCAGTCTCAATTCCTGCCCTATGTAATGACAGAAATAAAATCACACAACATGAGAGTTGTAGTTTAGGTTTTATTTGGGGGCAAAATGAGGACTATAGCCCAGGAGACAGCATCCCAGAAAGCTCTGAGGAACTGCTCCAAAAAGGCAGGGGAAACTCAGTATTATATATGATTTTAGCAAAGGAGGGGGGACATGCAGTCAAGCACACATTTAGGCAGAGGCTGCTGCGAGTCATGAGGAGCAGATGTCACCATTAATGATTTCAGTGCTTCTTTAGATGTGAGGAGACACAAGAATTTGGGTCATAAAATCTTCCCCTGAAAACATGTAACTATCTGGAGGCCTGTTCTGCCAGTTTTCCCAGGACACAGAGCGCCTCATTCCTGATCTCCACCCTGAACTCCTATCAGGGAGGGTTGGAGTGGCTACAGCGGCTCATGATTTAATCCAAGCAGAGTTAGATGGCAAGTGCCAACATGATTCAACCCTTGTAGAGGCAGGCGGCAAGTGTCAATTTTTAGTTGGCAGCAACTAAAGCCTACATCCCAGATAGCTCCCTATAGTTCCCCAAATCGGCTTCGTGCCCTCAGATCCTCAGCTCTTGCCCATCTGCTAAGCCGGCCCGGAACACCGCCGTCCTCTCTCTCACCCCGCAAACTCCTAAGCACTATTATCAGTGGCATCCAAGGAACCCCCACCCAAGAAGCAGGCCTTAATTGCTGTCGATAGACCAGCCCCAGGCTCCCCTCACTCTCCACGTTCTGCATCTATATGCCCGGAGCGTGTGTCTGTCATGGAACTTATTATGCTGGCTACCATTCTTTGTCTCCCTGTCTGTCCTCCCAACCCGACCCTGAGTCCCTCTGAGGCAGAGGCTGGAGCTTTCCCAGCTCCTGCACAGCACCTGGCACTACTAGGTGTCCAGGAAATCTCTGTGAAATAAATAAACAGACAAATGGGGCCTGACACATAGGAGGTGGTAGAGAAATGCATAAGGAATGAATGAGTAATATATAAAAGTTTGAAGAGAGGTGGGAAAGAAGTACACGGAGAACAAGAAGATTAAGAACCTAAGACATATAAGCTCCCTGAGAGCTCCATCTGCTTTGTGTTGTATCCCAGGGCCCAGACCTGGCACGAGGAGGAGCTCGGTAAATAGTCACTGATTGATGGAAACTGACTGTAGTAGGTCAAAGCAACAACCAGTCAGTCTAGTACACACTTGTCAGAGGTCAGGGCAGGCCTGTCTGTTCCTTTGTGCATTCACTCGGCAAACACAATGCTGACCGTGCCCAGCGCTGGGCTTGGATCCCTGAGGCACTACACCCACTCATGCTATGATAAAGGCACTCTCTTATATACTCTCTTGTACCAAGCTCCTGAGAGTAGGAACGTAACCTAAAATAGCCTACTTCTCAATTGCCAGAGCACAGGTATAGAAAGAAAGGCTCCTTACCTCGTGACTGCTGGAATAGGACCTTGCTTTCTCTTCGCAGAGGTGCAGTTTCTCTCGAGGAGGCTGGAAGAGCGCTGTCTGAGGCAGCTTGTTTTGGATCTTCTTTCTAGGTGTTAGGCTGACAGCAGCAGCAGTCTCATCCAGGTGGTTGGATACGTGGGTTTCCTGTGATTCTTGCATATTCTTATATACATTATCCTCTAATTTTTAAATAAGAAAACAAAGGCATTAAGTGACAATTTCCATAGTTACTTTTAGAAATACACAGTTTTCCTAGAAATTGAAGCTAGACACTAAGAAAATTTCAACACTCCCTATGACTTCTTTGAAATGAGTTACATTCTACCCAAAAAGATTCTAGTGGCTAGTACTGACCTCTTTCAGGCTGATTTCGAGTTTTAAGCAAATCAGACATTCTTTATTTAATATATATATGTGTGTATGTGTGTATATACACACACACATACACACATACACACACTGACACATTTTATTTATGATATATATAACATATATACATATATATCAGAAGAAATCAGTTAAGCCCAAACAACTCTCAAAAAGCCCAGATTAGGTCACATGTACCCCCAAATGACCTTCAAGCAAGAAAAAAATGACATGTTAAACTTTCACTTCCAGCCAAGATGGAGTAAAGAGGGATGAGATTTACCCTCTTGCCTGAAATAACCAACAAATCAACAAAAGAAACAAACAAGAAAGCCTCACAGGCAAAAAGGTTTTCAGAGACAGGACTTCAGACTTCAGAGATGGAAAAAAGATACAAAGCAAGATCCCTGATTGCCTCAGCTTACTGCTTTGAGAAAGTTTCTAGAACATGCACAACATGAAGGGAGGGGGCACCTAGAAGTTACCCTGTGGATTATCTGAGCTGAGGATACAGAATTGAGGGCTTGGGGAGACCAAGGTGCCTGGAGTTCACAGGACAGATTACTGGAGAGGATGGAGCAGCAGACAGGACCCCAGAGATTAGCACCCCTCAAGCATGGGGAGAGAACACTGATCAGTATATGCATAAGAAAACCAATTGAGTCTGGAGAAAGACTCCTCTAATAAGACTGAAAGGAACCGTGTCTAGTGCTCACCAAAGCTGGCAGTGCCTGTTCCCACTGACCAGACTGGAAAAACTCACAATTCATGAGGCACAGGGTAAAGTACTCAGAAGAGTTTTGTCTCAGGAGTTGGGAATAATTAGCTCCAGAGCGAGCACTGCTCAGCTCCACTTAATAAATCATAAAAGTAAGACCTAAAATGTTAAAACTGTTTCCAAGTAAATTGTAAAACTCAAGGATATTCATAGGAATACAAAAATAGCCAGCACCCAACAGGGTGAAATTCACAAAGTTTGACATCCAATCGAAGATCACCAGGCATGCAAATGGGCAAGAAAACATGGCCCATAAAGAGAAGAATAATCAATCAAAACTAACCCAGAACTGACCCAAATATTAAAATAGCAGAGAATAATATTAAAAGTTATTTTAATTGTATTCCATATGTTTAAAAAGTTAAGCAGAGACATGGAATAGAAAAAGACCCAAGTTGAACTTCTAGATATGAAAATTATGTGTGAGATGAAAAATACACTGGATGGGATTAATGGCAGATTAGATATTACAGATAAAAAGATGAATGAACTTGCAGACATAGCCATAGAAAGCTCTCCCCCTCCTCTGCCTGCCTTGGATTGGAATCTCCGACAAATACAAGCAGTGGTGGGGGTGGCAGACTGACTCTCTTCTCATGGGAGTGATCTTTATAGAGGTGATGAGTTCAGAAAACACATAAAAACACTCAGAATAATACCCATGCGTATTAATATGGAAGGAAAAAAAGCACATGAGAAGAGAGTGAAGCAACATATTTAAAGTATGGAAAGAAAAAGTGGTCAAGATAAAATCCTGTACCAGTGGAAATTATCTTTCAAAAACAAAATCTGAAAGAATTCATCATCAACAGATTTGCATTCCAGGGACCTCAAAGAACGATTAAGGGAAGTCTTTCAAAAGGAAAAAAAAAAATAACGAATGGAAATCTAGATCCACACAAAGGAAGTAAGAGCAATGGAAATGATACACGGGGAACTATTTTTATATTATCTGAATCTCTTTCAAAGATAATAAACCATTAACAAAAAATAATGGACTGTGAGGGTTATAACATATGTGTAAGTAAAATATATGGCAATAGTTGCATAAAGACTAGGAGATGAGAATGGAATTGTGAAGTTCTTATACTGTAGGGGGAGTGGTATAATATTACTTGAGGGTAGACTGAGATAAGTTAAAAATGTATAGTATAAACCCTACAGCAACCATTAAAATGAAAAAAAAAATAAAGTGTTACAGGAAACAAGCCAATAAAGGAGATAAAAATAATCCAACAGAAAAAAAGAGGGAAAAGGGAACAAAGAGAACAGCTGGGACAAATAGGAAATAAATAGCAAGGTGATAAACTTAAATCTAACTGTATCAATAATAACATTAAATGTAAATGAGCTCAACACCCCAGTTAAGAGACAGATATTCAGACTAGGTGAAAATGCAAAACCCAATCATGTGTTGCCTATAAGAAATTCAAAGGCAATCAGATTAAAAGTGAAAAGATGGAAAATAATATCCTAAACTTAGTCAAAAACAAACATGGAATATCCATATTAGTACCAAAGTAGATTGTATAGCAAAGAATATTAACATAAGGAAAGTCATTTCATAATGATAAAGGATCAATTATTCAAGAAGACATAACCATCTTAGTGTTTATATATCTAATAACAGGTTCAAATATAAGAATCCAAATTGATGAAATATCAAGAGAAATAAACAGATTCTCAATTATTTATAGTCAGAGATTTAAATATCTTGTTGTCAATAATTGATACACCAAGTAGGCAGAAAATCAGTAAAGGATGTAGAAGACTTGAATTAAATCATCAACCAACTTGATTTGGCATTTACCAGGACACTCTACCCAAAAAGCACAGAATATTCATTCTTTTCAAGTGCATGTATACATTAAGACAGAATCTATCCTGGGTTATAAAACAAGTTTCAATAAATTTATAAGGATTCAAGTCATACAAAGTATATTCTCTGACCACAAAGGGATTAAGTTATAAATCAACAACAGAAAGATGTCTGGAAAATGTCCAAATATTTGGAAACTAAATAACATATTTCTAAAACAAAACAAAACAAAAAAACCCAAAAAACAACAAACCACAGGTCAAAACAGAAATCAAAAAGGATATTTGAAAGTAGTTTTAACTGAGTGAATATAAAAACATAACATACAAGAAACTGAGAATGTCACTAAAGCAGTCCTTATGGGGAAATACACGGCATTAAATGCCTGTATCAGAAAAGTAAAAAGGTTTCAAAATCATGGTTAACCTTTACCTTCAGCAACTAGAAAAGGAAGGGCAAATTAAACTCAAAGTAAGCAGAAGAAAATAATTAATAAAATAAATAATAAAGCTAAATTCACAAGTCAATTAAATAAAAATAGAAAAACAGTAGAGAGAAATCAATGAAGTTAAAATTTGGTTCTTTGAGACCAATAACCTCTAATTTGACTAATCAGTAAAAAAGGAGAGAAGACACAAATCACCGGTATCAGCAACGAGAGAGATGACATCACTATAGATTTTACAAATACTAAAAGATAAGTATGAGAATGTTATGAACGCCTGTGCCAATAAATTTGAAAACTTAGATAAATGGAAAAATTCACTCAAGAAGAAAGATACCTGAATAGCCCTATACCTATGAAAGAAACTGAATTTGTATTTTTAAAACCTTACCAAGAAAACCCCCAAACAAGTAAACAAACAAACAAAACCTCCAGGCCTAGATGGCTTCAGTAATGAATTCTACCACATATTTAAGGAAGATATAATACCACTTCATCCAAAAAATTCAAAAAGAGAACATTTCTTAAACTCATTCAATGAGATCTTGATACCAAAACAAGACAAATACATTATAAGAAAAGAAAATTTCAGATCAATACACCTCAGGAACATAGATGCAAAAATTTAAAACAGAATTTTAGCAAATTAAATCCAGTAATCCATAAAAGGGAGCATATCATGACCAAGTAGAGTTTACCTCAGGAATGCAAGACTGGTTTAACATTCACAAAGCGGTGAATATAAGTCATAACATCAATAAATTAAAAAAGAAAAGCTGTACAATCATCTTGATCAATATACAAGAAGAATTTGCCAAAATCTAATATAATTTCTGACTTTTAAAAATCTTAACAAAGTAGGAATAGAATTGTACTTCCTCAGTCTGAAAGGGCATCTAGGAAAAACTTACAGCCAAATTAGTAAAAAGACTGAATGCTCTTCCCCTAAGATCAGAGACAAGACAAAGAGGTTTACTCTCAATTTCTATTTAACATTGTACTGGAGGTTCTAGCCAGTGCAATCAACTAAGAAAAAGAAATAAAAGGCAATCAGATCAGAAAGGAAGAAGTAAAACTGCCTTTAGTCACAGAAAGTATATCTCTAGTATCATCTATGTAGAAAATCTGATGCAACATGCAGGAAAATCTCCTAGAATAAGTGAGTTGAACATGGTTGTAGAATATAAAAGCACCATACAAAAACTATACTTCTATACATTAGCAATCGACAATCAAATTGAAATTAGAATACGCTATTATGTTCAACAGCATCAAAATATGAAATAAAGAATAAATTCTGCATTATTTATTTCAAGATGAATATGACTTATCTAATTAAAACAGCAAAACATAGATGAGAGAAATTAAAGAAGACCTAAACATTCATCATGTTCATAAGTTGGAAGACTCAATGTTGTTAAGATAATTCTCCACAAATTGATTTATAGAGTCAAAGTCTTACCAATTCAAATCCTTGCATGTTTTTCTTTTTAAATAGGAATCAACAAACTGTTTTTAGTGTTCATATAAAGATGCAAAGGACCTAGAACATCCAAAACAACTTTGTAAAAGAAAAAGAGGACAAACCCAACTTTTTAATCAAGATTTATTATAAAGCTACAGTAACCACGGCAGTTTGGTATTGCTGTCAAGATAGACAAATGGATGAATGCAACAGAATGGAGAGCCCAGAAATGGACACTGACATGTAAAAACAACTGATTGTTGACAAAGCTGCAAAGGCAATTCATTGGAGAAAGAATAATCTGTT